GGGCCATTGAGGATTTAACCTGGCTCCTAAAACAGCATTAGCTAGTGTCATTGGTCTTGGTTGCCCACCAGAACTTGATGGTAAGACCCTATTACTGAAGATACCCACATATCTTTGTCACAGGACATGGAGAAATCAAGCTGGTACTGACCTGGAAGCTTCCTTCCTGCTGGCTGACTTTCATAGTACCAGAATGTGTTATTCAGGCTGCTGGAGGGAGAAAGGTCATCAACAATCTTATCCAGTTGTAAACCCTGAAAACTAAAATAATGACCAGCTTGACAAGATATTCCCATCTGTGCAATAGTGACAGGAATGTCAAGGGAATAACCAACCACTTTCTGCTTGGATTTGAGGCCCACTGTCAGAAAAATCTATGCTTGGTACTATAAATCCAGCCAAGAACCCAAGACTGGAGAGGTTACACTACAACTTTGTCATACGCTAAGCTGCCCTGGACACTATGCCTTCCATGCCATGATGGACCCATATCCTCTGAAAGTGTGAGCCAAAATAAACCCTTCCTCCCTTTTGTTGTTTCCATCAGGTATTCTGTCACAGCAATGAGGAAAGTAATGAATACAGTTTAAAGAGGCTTGGGAGACTTAGGAGAATATATATATCACACACTGAAAATGAAGAATTAGACCACACAACGGCAAACTAAAGTTGTGACCCAAGACAACTCAGTAGCCACCAATGCCTCCCCTGGGGCAGCTTCACTGCTGGGATTACAGCATGAACCACCAGACCTGGATGATTTTTTATGGTTGTTTTGAGATAGGGTCTCAGTCCATAGCTCAGGCTAGCTTGGAACTGACTATATAGCCCAGACTGGCTTCAAACTTTTAGCAATCCTACTGCCTCTGCTTCCTGAGTTCTAAGATTACAAATGTGAGCCACCATACCCAATGGATATATTTATGTATTTATTCAACTTCTGTGAGGTACTAGGATTCCATCAGGGTTCCATGAATGCTGAACAAACATCCTATTGCTGCTCTATCCTCAGCTTTTATTGGATTTACTATTTTTTGAAAATTTTTCATGTGTAGAGTTTATTTACTGTGGGATGGGTATCTTATTTAATAGCAGGTGCCAAATAGAAGTGGGTCTGGCCCTGGGAACGCCTTAATCTGGCCTTGGTGTCAGGGTCTCTGTTGTTTCCTGTGCTGACAGAATCTCTTGGTTCCTTTGGGAAAGATGAATCAGACTTCCTGGAAGTGGTGGCACAGGCCTTTCATCCCAGCACTCAGGAAACAAAGGCTGGTAGATTTCTGTGAGTTCAAGGTCAATCTGGTCTACATAGAGTTCTAGGTGAGTCAGGGCTACATAGTAAAACTCAAAACAGAAACAAACAACAAAAAAAACTTATCCTGAACGAGGACTTATCTCCAGGAACATTCCTTCTCAGATTGAGTCTCATGTATATTCCCTACAAGAGGAGACTAGGATGTACCTCAGGGGCTGCTGGAATTAGGTTGGTGGGTCAGTGTTAAGCTCCAAGTCTTGAGACAAGGTGTTACTCCTTACAGTGATACCACTTTGTAGGGGCATAAGCAGAGGCAGGAACCCCACTGCATGATGTGTTCTTTAGCTGGGGTGTCATATAAATCTGTGGTGGGCTAAGGAGTGGCAGATGGTACAAGGCAGCCCCCACCTAGCTGAGGAGAGGATCACTCAAGTTAAGACACTATCCTGCCACAATGCCAGCCCCAACCAGGGCTCCTAAAGCCAGGGCATGAGGACTTTTCTAGCCATCTGTGAGCTACTCCAGGGGAGGCATTGGTAACTACTGAGTTGTTTTGAAGGTAATATCTTTAGTCTGCCTTTATGTGATCTAATTCTCCATCTTCAGAATATGACATATATTCTCATAAGTCCACCAATCCCTTTTGAACAAGGAAGTAAACCATATTTATCACCTATCTTGTCACTGTGACAGAATACCTGACAGAAACACCTAAAGGGAGAAAGGATTTAAACTCGGTTTCCATCCTCAGAGGATATGGGTCCTACAAGAAAGGGATGGCGTGGTGGCTGGGGCAGCTTAGTATGTGGTGACAGAAACATTCAGCAAGCAAAATGAAAAGAAAGAAAAGGACCACCAATACTCGGAACCCAAAGGAGTACCTGCTGTCACCATTCCAGTCAGATGAACTAACTGCAGTTTGAGAAATCAGATCAGAGGAGTAGGGAAAGACAACTGGTTGATGGTAAAGGGTACAGAGAAATTTTTGTGGTGATGGAATTGTTTTATGTCTTCAATGGAGTTGTGTTTATAGTTGTCATTCATCAAAATGTGCACAGGAAATGTTGAATTGTTAGAAATAAAATCTAAGATCCAAGGACCCCATCAATGCCACACAAAGAACACAAGGACAAGGCAGAAAATAACTCAGCAAGGCAGATTTTTCTGTTGCAAAAGGGTGACTTGTATGATCAATCAGTTTGAAAGAAAAGACTAATATTTAATATTTCTTACATGAATGATATGCAAGTTATATCTCGCTTGATCTGATAACATACCATTTAAGAGAAAAAAATAAGGTAAGGAAAATGATATTGTTCAGTTTGGGAAAAATTAGCTGGACAATGCTAGATTTTGGCCCAGGACATGGGTACCCAGTTTGGGGATATGTGGGCTATCAATTCATCTCTTGCAAATACTCTCAAAGGCATGGATTGTCACAGGGACCCATAAGGCAGAGAGGCAAGAAGACGTTCTCTGCGGAGAATTTTCAGGGGCATGGTGTTGTCCTCCATCCCTAGAGGTGGAAATGCATAAAATAGGTGGATACACACATTGAAGCACCTTGCAATAGATATGATGAGCCTAGAACCATGTGCTTGGCCTGCAGAATAAAAGCAAAATCAAACTAAACCAAGAAACAAATCTGGTGTGGTGGCACATACCTATAATCCCAGCACTGAGGAGGAGGGTGAGGTAGGGGGATTACCTCATTATGTTTTGTTTTGTTTTTTGTTTGTTTTGTTTTGTTTTTTGGTCTTCTTTTTTTTTTTTTTTGGTCTTTTTGAGACAGGGTCTCCCTATAGCCCCAGCTGACCTGGAACTTGCTATGTAGACCAGGCTGGCCTCGCACCCACAGATATCCACCTGCCTCTGCCTCCTGAGTGATGGGGTTAGAGGTGTGCATCATCGTGTCCAACTATATTTTATATAATGTCATCATTGGAGGAATCTGACAATGGGTTTTGGGAGTAAGTATGTCTTATTGTTGCATCCTCCTGGGAGTCTGTAATTATTTCAAAATAAAAGAGTAAACAGAGGGTTGGAAATATAGCTCAGGGGCAGAGGGCTTGTTTAGCATGCCCAAGGTCCTCTGCACACACACACACACACACACACACACACACACACAAAAGTAAAAAATAAAAATGATGTGTACAGCTGGGCTTGGTGGCACATATCTTTAATCCCAGCACTCAGGAGGCAGAGGCAAGCGGCACATCTCTGAGAGTTCAAGGCCAGCCTGGTCTACATAGTGAGTCCCAGGCCAGCTGGGGCTACAGGGAGACTCTCTCAAAAAGACCAAAAAAAGAAGAAAGTATACACTTCTACATTATATTTTTTACAAGAAAAATGTAAGAACAAAAGCATATATGTGTGTACATATATCCCCTTAGAATGGCAGTCTATAGGGGGAGGGGAAGTGAGAAGGAAGGGTGAACACAGCTACATTAACCAAGGACCATTTGCAGGCAGAACAACAGTGATTATGTGCCGTGAACTGAAAAGATATTAACTCCAATCCCCTCACATCTGAGGTCCTACAGAGAAGAAAAGGGCTGGGTGTTGGCAGGACACTGGTGGGGGCAGGTCAACGATGATAAAGACAAGGCCTTTTCCAATCATGTTAAATATTTTCTTCTTTATTCCACAGAAGGCAGGAGGAAGGTATGACGGGGAGGGGCTTGTAAGGTAAATTCTCCGGAGGGCTCTGGGTTAGTCTAGGAACCAAAGGAACCACAGTAAAGAAACCAGCTGGAGCTCAGAGGCCCTAAGGAAGAGATCTCTGCCTAAGCAGCTGGTGCATCCTGCATGGGCTAATTTTTTGCATAGCCTCCAGGGCCAGGATGACCTTTGACAAGGCCCCTCATTTAGCTGTGCTTGCAGTATCTTTTCCGGACTGCATTACTGGGAAGACAGAGATAACCGGGTGGAAGGACTTTTAAAGCCATTTATTTGCACAAGTGTACTACCTTAGCTATCAACTCAGTATGTTTTACTACTAAATTGTATGACTATGAGGACGACGGGAAAGGAAATAATTGAGGAAGTATGGCAAAGTTTATTGCCAAGGATGTTAATCTCAACATTATTTAAGATAATTAACAATTAGAAAGAAACTTAATGTTTCATAGTAGTGACTTGGTTTAAAAAAAAAATGTATGTTGCAGCTGTGTGGGATGGGGCACACCTGTAATCCCAAGAGGCAGAGAAAGGAGGATCCCTCCAAATTCCAGGCCAGCCTGTCCTGACCTAGGTAGCAAGACCCTGTCTCAAAAGGGGGTGGGGGGGAGGGTTGGGGGGGTTCAGGGAGGAGCAGCTGGGGATGTAGCTCAATTGGCAGAGTGCTGGTCTAGCTTGCAAGAAGCCCAGGGTTCCATCTCCAGCACCCAGGCATGGTGGCAGTCTAATCCTAGCACTCAGGAGATGGGGGCAGAGGGATCAGAAATTCAAGAAAGTCTCCCACTTTCTTTTTCCTTACAATTCACACTGATAGCCTGCTGGGTGGTATTATTTTTCATTGTGTTTTCCTTTTTTTCTGTGGTAAACACGTGTTAAGTAACATGAAAATAACCACTGTGTCCTTTTTCTGCTGGAGCCTGGCTGCTCTTCCTGAAAAAGAGGTAGAGGGACACTGCATGCTCTTAAAGACTCTTCTGGCCCGGAAGTGCTGGTCCTTAGTCTATAGCTTCTCCAGCCTCTTGACCAGCCAGCTCTGGCCAGCTCAGCAACTTACACGCCCAGAACTGGTTGTTTCAGGAACCGCTCAGAAAGCTGCTGTCGCTTTTCTGGAGAGGACTGGCTGAGGTCAACCGATAAACGGTCTGTTTATACCCCTATCTCCTCTTTCCTTGTCCTCTTCCAGCACACCACCCTAAGAGAGCAGCCCCTACCCTGGGCGGAGGGACTCGTGGGTAATTTCAGAGGGCGGCTCTGTGCTCCTCTCTGGCTCTTGCCTCCTACCGTAAACAATACTACCATTATTGAAAGTTGACCAAGTGCCAGGTGTGTGCCTCTCCCACAACGTTGTTGAGATCCCTGCTGGTTTCCCGCCCACTGTGCAGGTGAACTCTCCGGCTCAGAAAGGTTAAGGCACTCGCCCTAGTTAACACAGCCAATTGCGCGGTAGTGGATCTGGGTTCCAATCCTGAACAAGCACAGGTTCCAGCTAGGGAGACCGCCTCCTGAGGTCCAGGTCCAACGAGGCCGAGCCTCCCAAGGTCAGAGAGGGCGCAGCCCTGTGGACCCCGTGGCCGCACACCCTGGCCGGTCCGGCCGGATGCGGGTTCGCAACGTGTCCAGGGCTGCAGGACCTGGCTGGGGGACCGCCAAACAGCCGCGGCGAAGCCCAGGAGGGCGCCTGCGGACAATTCCCGAAAACGGGAAGGCGGGGCGGGCCAGGGCGGGGCTTGGCGGCCGCCCAGCATTTCCGGGGACACCGTGCTGGACGCTGGGTGTTCACGGGACACTCCGGGTCCCCGGGAACGGCGACCGGACGATCTGGCAACCGGAGCGAGTCTGGGGAACTTCGGGGCTGCGCGGAGGCGGCTCTGTTGTGGGAGGTGACCCAAGCCAGGTAAGCGCCAGGGACCTGCCGGGGTGGGAACCGAGGAATGATGGGGTGACAGGCCAGGCCCAGGCCGCGGCCCACCCTCTCCGCCTCCGGCCCCTCTCTCCAAAGAGGGCGCCACCTGCATGCCTGATGGGCACCAGCGCCAGCCAGTGGGGGAGCCTGTTGCCATGGCAGCGCCGGAGGTTGGGCCCACGTTCCCATGGCCACCGGAGGCCTCTGCACGAATCCTTTAACAGAGTCTTACAACATCGCCCCCTACTCCCAAGCCCAGAGGAAAATCACTAGGAAAAGGCCCAGAGCCCCTCCTCTGAAAGATCAAGGATGTGACCTCTGTTAGGGCCTTTGTCATGGTTTCTTTATTATCTCTGAGCAACAAGGTGGATTGAAGAGCCAGGAAGGGGAGGAAGTTGGGGTCCTGTGAATGAGGAGACCTTTACTATGACTTCTCCTTAGCTGTTCTAGTCTAGCACAAAGGCTTTGGAGGTCTGGGTCACTTTAGGAAAGTCATCAAACCTCTGCTCACATTCCCTTACCTGTCATATGAATATGTTATTTAAGAATCACAGGAAGGGCCCATGAGATGGCTCAGCAGACAGAGTACTTGACGCCAATCTTGAGGACCTGAGTTATATCCCTGGGATATACTTGGTGGAAGGAGAATCGACTCCTGAGAGTTGTCCTCTGACTTCTACACAGATGCTGTAGGATGCACGTGATGCACATGCACACACACAGTATAAATAAATATTTTTAAAAAGAGATGGGGCCATCAGTGTAGCTTAGTGGTAGAGCACAAGTTTAGCATGTGTAAGGCCCTAGTTTCAATCCCCAGCATCAAAAGGAAATTAATAATAGTAATAATAATAATAATAAATTAATGCTGGGTGTGGTTGTACACATCTGTAATCCTGGCAACTGGGAGGTGGAGACAGGAGAATTAGGAGTTCCGGGTTATCCTCAGACACATATGGAATTGGTGGCAAGACTCTGTCTTAAACAAATAAGCAAATTAAAAAAAAAAAATCCAAGAGTCTCAGCACACAATAAATATGTACCAGAAAGAGACAGAAAGAAAGAGACTTTCAGATCTCCCCAAGGCAAAAGTCTGTTTCCCATCTTTAGCTCATCCACTGCCAACATCCCCATCTTAATTCATTATGTACTATTAATAGTATTATATGCATTTTGATTTCATGTAGTCAGGGCTGGCCTCGAACACTTATGCAGCCAAGGATGACCCTGAACTTCTGATCTTCCTACCTCCACCTCCTGAATGCTGATATTACAGGAGTTCACTACTATGCCGTTTTATGCAGTGCTGGGGATCTAATGCAGGGCTTTGTGCGTGCTAGGCAAGCCTTCTGCTATAGGCCCAGCACTAGAACTCTCAGTTTAATGTATATCTGACATGGCCAGGCATTCAGCCACTCTCCAGCATACCATCTCTTGCAAAGACAACAAAGCTCCTGAGACTAGGGATCCGAGTGAGAAAACCCTGCTGCCCTAAGGCAGGGAAATAGGGCTCCAGCCTCCCCACTTTGGTGTGGTGCCTTTTCTTTGGAAAGGATAAGAGGAAGGTAGGAGAGGGAGATCTGGGAAGGAGCACTCAAATGAATTACTTGGAAAAACGGGAGTTGAAAACTCATTTGTTCATTTAGTCAACATTTCCTAGGTGCCTGCTGTTTCCAAGCTCTGCTCTAGGGCTGGAGATTTAAAACCCCGGAGTTAGGCAGGTCTGGTCCTAGCACTCAAGGAGCTTGTAGAAAGGATGGGAAGAGAGGGATGGGTTGTGTAAATGAGTGTTTTACTATGGCTTAATGAGTGCCTTAATGGAAATATGAGCTGAATGCAGAGAGAGCCCAGAGGAACAACTCCGGAAATCAGTTGCAAACAGCAGGCTTCTAGTCCATGCAGCCTGGGAGCCCTCCTGGAGCTCTGCCAGGCTCACCCTGGTCATTACCTTTGTGGGAGACAAAAGAGTGAGTGAAAGTATCTAAAGAAATGAAGGTCAGGATGAATATCCTCTGAAAGAAGGGTTTAAAGAATCCTGATGAATCATGAAGCCTGCCTGCAGCACCAGTGTTAGTTTCCATCAATTTCAGCAGAGCTTAGAAGGCAGCAAGTGAACAAGAAACAGTGATGGTTGAATGAATCAAAAGAGGGAGGGAGGGAGGGAGGGAGGGAAAGAGGGAGGGACAGCAGCTTGTATTATCAGAAGAGGAGATGGCTGCAACTTGAAACAAAACCTGGTTGAAATTCTGCCTCTAGGTTAGTGTACATGTGAGTTCTGGAGCCAGCAGATCGGAGTCCTGGTTTTAGGCCTCACCTAGAACACAGGTAGCCGTAACAAGCCCCCAGCCTCTCTGTGCTTTATTCAGTTTGTCTTCTGTGTGGTGGGACTATCACAGAATAACACCAATCTCTATTGTATTTAAAAAGTATTAATGTGAAGAGATCAGCATAGTGCCTTATAGTCAGTGGTAAGAAAAATATTATCCATAAAACTGTCAACTTTCATTTAGGTAGGGAGTTTGCCAAATACTCCACATCAAGGTTATATAGCTGTATCAAAAAGAGGTATGATTTTTTTTAACTCGATGAAGGCTAATTTGAAAAGTTCTCTGTGTCTGCAGACTAACATACTTTTAAAAAACTGGTTATAGGCGGGTGTGGTGATGCATACCTGTAATTCTAGCACTTAGGAGGCTGAGGCAGGAAGATCATTAAGTTTGAGGTTTGTCTGGGGCCAAGTTTAAGGCCAGTCTGGGTAGACCTCATCTGAAAAAAAAAAAAAAAAGGAAGAAAAAGTACATGGCAAAGGCCCTTTTTTTAGAGCACACTAGGCAAATGCTCTAACAACTAAGCTACATCCCCAGCCCTTGACAAGAATCTTTTTGAATTAAATGAAAGCTCTGATTCCTATTCTCCAGAAATAACATGCCATTCTTAGCACTCCTAGTGCCCTGAAGCCCATGATGGAGTAAGGGCCCTTGCTGTACTGCACTGACTGCAGGCTGTGGTCCAAGGCCTCAGGTGGCATGTCTACAAGTGTTGGAAGAGCACAGCTGCTAGGATTGAAACCTGGGTCTGCTCTTTTATGGGGTTATGAAAGCCACAGGCTGTGAGAGAGGCATATAAGCCCCTTTGAGTCCCTTCTCCTGCTGGATCTGGGCCCCAGAGATCCTGGGGTGGCGCCCTGCATCACCTACAGTGCCCCCCTAGTAATACAGGGAGTCCTGGGCTGGGTAACTGTTGTGGGTAGAACCCATCTAGCCTGGAGTCTTTGGTGCTGCCCTCACACCAGCTCTCTGTGAGTGTTGTTCCTGATCCTACTGCTTTAGGGTGGCAAGCAGGCATAATGCCACAGTGGGACACTCCATGAACCCTCTACCCTGGGGAGGTAGGAGCTGCAGGAGATCAGCGGCAGCTCATCTGTCCATCTCTACCACTCTCATGGGTACACCTGTCCCTGCTTACTCTCTGGGTTCAGTATCAAAGCCAAGAGCAAGACTATGTGGGAGAAATGTCAGCTACCAAGTGACTTGAGATGCCAGAGAAACTTTGGGGTCAGAGAGCTTTTCCTCTCTGGGAAGGAAGAGGCTAAGGGGAGAACCTTGAAAATCTGGGAAGGAAGGTTGGCTCCCTGAAGGTAGAGGCAAGGCCCTGGCCTTCACTGGTCTGGGGCCCAGAGTAGATTTGACAGGGAAAAAGCATGATGGCAAATTGAGAGACTTTTAACTAAAAAAAAAAAAAAAAAAAAAATTTAAGTGTTTTGAGACAGGGTATTGCTAAGTAGCTCTGGCTATCCTGGAACTCAATCTGTGACCCAGTTGGCATTGGAATTTACAGTGATCCTCCTGTTTCAGCCTCCCAAGTGCTGGGTTTACAAGCTTGAGCCACCACACCTGGTTTCCTGACTGCTGGAATTCTTGAGAACCAGGTCTCATAAGCTGGACTGGAAGCTGAATGCTCTGCTAGGTCCTTACCCCTTCTTCACCTGGCCAGACCTGTCTCCTACCTGTGAGTGCCACAGTGTTTAGAGAACAGGAAAGAGTCACTGAGCAATCAGCATGCACCAATGATCTGCCACGCTAGACCCCCTGGCCCAGCTGGCCTGTAGGCACAGACAGCTCCTCCTGAATACCTGTAGGGGATAAGGGAGTGACAGTGGCAACTTTGTGTTCCACCCTGCCTGGGTAGAGACAGGCTGAGCCCTGTTGGTTGCACCACAGCCCTGTAGGGCGGGGGA